GGTCCCAAGCTGATCCCCAAGTATCACCTGGGAATCTTACAAAGGAAAAGGAAAAAAAAAAATCTTTTTTTTTTTTTTTTTTTTTTTTTGCTTTTTGGGTCACACTCGACGAAGCACAGGGGTTGACTCCTGGCTCTGCATTCAGGAATTACTCCTGGTGGTGCTCAGGGGACCATATGGGATGCTGGGAATCGAACCCAGGTCGGCCACATGCAAGGCCCTACCCACTTTGCTATCATGCCAGCCCCCCCAAAGAGCATTTCGTGTGGCCATGGGGAAAAGTCTGTAAAACAGCAAGCAACCAGTTATAAATAGCAAAAAATATGATTTTTTTCTACATTAATAAAATTGTGTTTTTAATGACCAGCACATCAAATAATATTTGCTAAGCTGAGAACATGTTGACTGGGCTAGTGCTGATATATTATTATACTATGTTGTTCCCCAACATAGGAAATTCAAAATGGTAGCATTAATAGAATCTGGAAATTCTTTAAATTCAAAGTTTTTTTTAGTGGCCTTCTCTAAGGGAAACTGCAGTTTATTTTCTCGAAAGTATGCATGTAGCACAGAAAGGGAAGAACAAGACTTCAGATTTTCAGATGAGCTTAAATTTGCATTTATTCTCTGTGACTTGACAAGTGTTCAGATCTCCTAGTCTCAATTTCCTCACCTGTAAAATGTCAATGAAACCAACTTCTGAGCTCCTGTAGAAACTATGAAAATGGCTGTTATAGCGATTTAAAAAAAAGAAGTATCATTTTTACACTATGTTCCAGCCAATTTCGACATTAACACTGATTTACATATTTGGAGGAGGAGATCTTCCAAGCAAATAGCACAGGAACTCATAAGACGAAAACAAGACTGTCTTCATGCTGTGATTTTTCTGCTCCAATTAAAATAAGTCTCCTGGGTTGGGCATATTTTAATGGAACAACTCAATTTCTGTCGATAATTCACACTCCTCTTCCAATTTCATTTTTGCCATGTGACTTCAAATTCCACCAAGCAGATGGAAGTCTACATATAGTAACATTAAAATTCCCTGAAGAAACAGTTAACATGCTCCAGTGTTAAGCAAAATTTGTGAACCACTCGATTGTTTTCCATTACTTCCCGAACAAGTAGTGAGAGTTGGGGGATAGAGTTATTATCTACATGGCTCTCAATCTGAAGATCATGAGATAAAACAGTCGACAAGGACAATTTTTCCTCGTCAGACAGGTAAGGGGCAGTTTGTTGAACTAGCCAGATTCTCCCCCATCCCTCTCATAACTTCTAAGGTTAGAACTGAAGGACAGAACTTCAGAGCACTTGCAAAATCTCCTGGCCTCCGAAGCACTGCTGTGAGAAATAATGATCTAGCCATTAACGACAAAGACTTAGGGCAATTTGCTAAGTAATCTTTCAAAAGCTTCCTTCATTCAAACTGGTTTGTCAATGGGAAAGAACATTTAATAAATCTGACGATTTACAAGTGAACTTTGAAGTTTAAGAATAGAAATTATGTCAGGTCATAACAGAACAAACGAATTATGGAGAGTTGGAAATAAATTTTAAGAGTCTTATAGAGGATTAGTACTATAAAATAAATCTCAAGACTTTTAAGTTCCCTTCAAAGGGATTTTTAGGCAAAGTTATCTTGTGCTAGCTTGTTTTAAGCGACTGCAAATATTAACAAACATCCTGTAATGGCCAATAATAAAAATAAAAATTAAGAATTCTGTAAAAACCCTAAACACTAAACACTCTTTAAGATCCTTAGATGAACAAAGCTGACACATAACAGGTTATTTTGATAATAATTTGCTCCATAATCAATACAAGTTAGCATAGAATGCGACACTTTTCATAAACCTAAAAGAGTAATTATTATGATAGCAAATTATGATATCCAATTATTATGATAGCAAATTATGATATCCAGACGCTGCCAAGAAAATGGAAATAATACCAGCACAAATGACAAGAGATGAAACAGTTTGGAAGACCATAAACTCTTTTATGAGTCTACAACATAGAATGAGATGCCAAGGGAAAATAAATTACAGTTCAAAAATTAATACCTACTACAAAAAAGGAAACATACTATGTTTACATCGATAAAACCTGCCAGGACTTTGAAGTTGCTGACTATGCCGCTGAGAAAAGCCAAGTGAACTGCAGATTTCCTCAAAGCCTGTTGTTTTGATGTGCTATGCAGGTTATCATTAGTTTCTGTAACAAGCTCTTTAAGGACACTATGCTCACTGCACTACCTCAAAGGTAAGTGATGAGCAGAAAGCCATGAGAAAAGAAAAAAGACTGCTCCATTTTGCAAACTAACGGTACTGCTGACAGAAAAGGAAGGAATATGGGAAAGAAACATGAAATTTTAACTTAAACAGTTCACATGTAAGATTAAGAGGGGGACTTGGTGGTACCAGTGAAAGTGAAGGAAAACAGCACTTGCCAGTCAGATGTTTACCTTGGTGTGTATGCATTCTGTTCTCTGATTATTGGTGAGCAATTTTTATGTATAAGGTATAGTAAGGCACTGCAATAGGTAAAAAATAGAGGTAAACAAAAAAATAGAGGTAAACAAAGCAGTTCCCACGCTCTGGAATCTTACCAATCCATTAGAAAGGATGAAAGAAACATACTCTTCTGCATTTACAATCACCTGAAAAAACCACGGTGGCCTCTAAGGAAGGTTCAAAGAGGTATGTGAGACCTGAAGATTTGTTGGAGTTGCATCTCTATTCTCTTTCAGCGCAAGACACACAGATACAGCATTGTTCTAAACGTGGTGATACTTGTACACGGAGCTTGAAAATGCAGCAGATTGGCAACGTTTTACAAATGAAGAACGATGCCTAAATCTGAAATCTGGAAGAAAAAAAAATTGGGGCACAAAAATCTGCTCCTCCTGCTCTACTGAACACCACCAGTCCCTGAAGCTGAAGTTAAAGGCATGTGACAGCAGCTGATTGGTTATAGGAATCCACAAGAAAAAAAAAAAATACACCCCTCAGGGTGCATGACAAGCATCTTGTCGGCAGAAAAAAACGGCAAGAAGGAAACAGTGGCTATAAAAGGAGGAAAAAGCAAAGAAAATGTGTCTGATAGCATTCTGACAAGTATGGTGTGAAGCTAGACAAACGTATTTGCCACTTGCACTAAACATATTATTAAAGCAGAGTTTTGATGCATCATTCATCTCTCCCAAATTTAACTGCTCATAAAAACAAGACATCTATAAACTATCAATACTATTCTGTCTTATTAAAGACATTTCACCACCAAAGGAGAATGGAAAGTAACCCAGTTCTTTAGACGCAATATAAAAGTGAAAATAATAGTGAAATAAATATTAAACGAACTGCACCCAAAGAAACCCCTCCTCTCTCTCAAATCCCTAACCAGTTGGAAGCTATTGTGCACTTCAACACCTATAACTACCTTTATCTGTTAAAATGAAAACCTGTAACATCACTATATGGTTCCTTGCTGTTCTAACAGACGAGGTTTAGCTAATAAAAATCAGCCTATAATCCTAGTTGAAAAGGTTGGGAAAAATAAGCTCGCTCATGGGTAAGAAAACACTCAAGAGGGGGGAAAAAAAAACTGGACAAATAGAATGGATACTTGATAAAAACATAAACGTCCTCCGTTCATCTGCAATTCTCATTTCCTAACAGATCTCAGATTTTTCGGAACAAGTATGCAGGTTATTTAAAACTGAGTTATATATAGTCATTTAGCAGCAGCAAAACACTTCTGGCGTTATCACAGCTGCTAGAGCTCTGGAGGAATTTTTTTCCCCCCCAAACTAGCATTTTTCTTCACCAAGAACCAACCAGCCTTTATTTTTAAAAAACAAGAGTCCTTGTGTTCCACCCCACCCCCCAATAAACAAACCCAAGACCACAGCTACATTCTACGCTAATGAAACTGTGAGATTACATCCCAGGCGTTGTCAGAGCCTATTTTTCATACACCACCAGCAGCAGACAGTTTGATGCAGTATTCCTGATTGCTTTTTATCGTATTTGTAAATACACTCACTAATCCACTAAATTAGGTCATTTACCAACAGGCCCGCTCAGTTATTAGTGGCCAGCAGTCAAGTTCTATTACGTTTGATCCTCATGCAGTTGTCTAAACATTTCCATCCAGGTTAAGGACTCGATGGGCAAGAGGCAGAGCGAGACAGAGAGCGGGCAGCGAGCGAGCGGTTGGAGAAATTTGGATGGGGGCAGGGAGGAAGCCGGGGAGGAGGGAAAAAAAAAAATCTCTGCATCTCAGCCCTCAGCGACAACATCCAGCCAGTGCCCACAGAAAAACTAAATTCGGCACCTCTGCCTCCTGTTACAGTGGCAACAAAGAAGGAGTTTCCGGAACGCTCCCGTCACCCACCAGGTGCCCAATCTCCGGCCCGGCTGGGTCCCCCCGCGCTCCCGCAGGGGCCTGGGTTCGCGCGGAGGCCGCGGTGCCCGGAGTCGCGGCACCAGGGGGGGATGGGGCCGGCGGGCGATCGGAGAAGAGGGTCGTGGACGGGGCTCCCGGACCCGCTCGCACAGTTGCACCGGGGCGGCGGAGCGGCGAGAAGGGCGCAGGAGGAGCTCCCGGGGCCGGGAGGAGGGCGACGGGCTGCGGGCGCTCTCCGGGGGCGCACGGGGAAGAGTCGGTGCGCCCGGGTGCGGGGGTGGGGAGCAGGCAACTCCGCGGCGAGGAAGGGGAGCCAGGCCCGGGGCGCCGGGGAGAGGGGCGCCCGCGTCGCCCCTACCTGCTCAGGTGCGGCTGCGGGGGGCCAGGTCGGGGACGGGGCCCCGGGGCGCGCCGAGGGCGCACGGGGCGAGGGGCGCGCGGCGGGGGGAGAGCGGCGGCCGCCGGGGCCGGCGCGGGGGGCGAGCGCGGGGCAGGCGGGCGGGAGAGGAGGGGGCGGCCGCCTCCGGAGCGCTCGGCGGGCTGCGGGCGGCATCCGGGCGGGCGGCCGGGAGGCGGGAGCCCCTCACCTGCGCGGCGGAGGAGGCGGAGCTGCAGCAGCCCATGGCGGGGCCGGGGGAGCCCGGAGGCGGCGCCGGGCGCGCAGCTACGCCCCGGAGCCCCTCGGCATGCGAGCCGGCGGGCGCCCGGGGAGGGCGCGGCCAGGCCCCGCACGGCGCGGCGGCGGCGGGGCGGCTCGGGCGGCGGCGGGCGCTCAGGAGGCGGCGCGGCTCGGGGCGGGCGCCGGCCACATCCCCCGGCGGCGGCGGCGGCGGCGGCGGCGGCGGCGGCGGCTGCGCGGCTCCTGCTCCGCTCCTGCTGCTGCAGCTGCTCCCCAGCGGAAAGGGGCGGGCGGCGGCGGCGGCGGCGCCTCCCCCTGGCCCCCGCCTCCCGCCTCCCGCGCCCAGCGCCTCTCCCGCTCCCTCTCCCGGGCCGCCGCCTCCTCCGCGCCGCGCGCGTCTCCCATCAGACTCCCCGCCCCTAGTGCAGCGCCGGGCGGCGGCGGCGGCGGCGGCCAGAACGAGGCCCGGCCCTTCGGCGCGCGGGGGCGTCTGCGCAGGGCCGAGCCCTTTTCGCGGTGGCACCGAGGCAGAGCGCTGCCTCGGGGCGAGAGGGCGCGCGGCGCCAAGGAGCCCTCGGGCTGGGCTGGGCTGGGCTGGGCCGGGCTGGCTCGCCGCCGAAATGGGGCCGAGTTGCTTCCGGGCTGCGGAGCCTCGGCCGAGGCTGGCGAAGCTCTGCCGGCTCTTCTGCTGCGCGCCCGCCCGGCCGCCGACTGACTTGCTCGAGGCTTCCTGCCCGTGCCTCGGCTCCTCTTGCGCTTGCTTGAAGAAGTCGACCGTGGAAGATGGGAAGCATCTGTTGCTGCTCGCCCCGCTTTGCTGATGAGGAAACTGAGTCCTGTAGGGGACCATAGCCCAGTGCAATGCACCCCCGTTTGCAATTTGTTAGGACGTGTTCAACTCTATAGTGAATCTCTACTAAGCCTTGCCGCTCAAGGAGATGACCGGTCATTCATTTATTATCAAAATACTTATGGAGAACATACAAGTTCCAGTAATGTGTAGGTTCTGGGAATAAAATGAACAAGAGAGAGTTTTCCTCTCTTACATTGCTAATTTTTTAGTAAAGCAATCAACTTATTAGCTTTTATACTGTTCATGCTGCGTGGTATGGCAGTTAGTTGAGAATTGGTATGTGAAAGAAATCTACAGTCCCAGGAGAGTCTTCGAGCTACCACTATCTGAAGGTGGTTCAGAGGTGGGAAGAATCAGAATAAAGACCTGTTAAGAGTTCAAGAACCACCAGACCCAGGCTTGTTTCAAGATCCACCAGACCCAGAACTGTTCTGTTCTTTCATGGGTTTCATTGCTTCTTGTCAAAGCGTGTCTCAAAGACAACATTTGGGGGTGGGGAGGAGAGGGACGGAATTATTTGCAGAGATGCAAAGGGTTGTGATTCTAAAAGGCCTGGCATGTCGATTTTTTTTTTAAAGCAAATTTGAGCGCACTCATCTGTGGAATATAAAGTAATAGAACGGGAGACTAACACCCAAGAATAGTAGAGATAAGTACCAGAAGGATTACTCCGGAGCTTAGAAGCCTGCCTCACATGCTGGGGGGAAAGGCAGATCAGATAGAGAAGGGACCACCAAGTAAAGGATGCTAGGAAGGCCCGCTCCGGGTGGGAGATGTGGACTGATAGTAGACTATAGACTGAACAAGATTGCCACTTAGTATCTCTATTGTAAACCGCAACACCCAGAGAGAGAGAGAGAGAGAGCAAAAGGGAATGCCCTGCCACAGAGGTGGGATAGGATGGAGGGAACGGGATGAGGTGGTGGGAGGGATGCTGGGACCTTTGGTGGTGGAAATTGGGCACTGGTGGAGGGATGGGGACTCGATCATTGTATGACAAATGCAAGCACGAAAGTTTGTAAGTCTGTAACTGTCCCTCACAGTGATCCACTAAGAAAAAAATTAAAAAACAAACAAATAAGCAAATTTGAATAATTAAATTCTATGGAGGGGGAAATGTCACTGGAGTAAATTATGTGTATTGAAAAGGAGCAAAATCAAGATACCTGGGGATAGCCAAAGAAAGAGCAGAGAAAAATACCTGATTTGAATGTTTGGGGACCACTTCTTAGGTCTGTAACTTCGGATGAATAAATGCTCTAAGCTTCATTCTCCTCCTCTGGAAAGCCTGATGACAGAGATGATATCCAGGAAGCTCTGTCAAGATTAAGTAACATATGAAAGCAAGTTAGATCTGAAACAGACACTGCTTGAGTTCAGAATTCTGCCTCTGCATTCACCCTATGTTCCGTTTCAATTTGATCAGTGCCAAATTGACTATACCAGTAAGGCTGCTGAAACCTAAGTGGGCTACCAGTAACTATTTAGCCCATTTAAATGAAGTAGAAAAATAAAACTGTAATGTCGCCACAATTAGATTGTAAACTCCCTGAGAACAAGAGAAAGTATTTTCTCTTTTGTATCTCCCTCAGTTCTCTCAAATGTTTGTTGAATAATTCAAAGAAGCTAAGAATAAAAAAAAAAAAAACCTTCCCTTGAGATTTTCCCTCAAAGCCTCAAAGTACATCTTGTTTTTAACTGAGGGAGGAGGCTGAAAGTAAAATTACAGTCTTAAACAAGAAGCCATCTGTCTTCCTTCTTTATAATCAAGGAAAGGGGAGTTGTTTCTCTTAGCAGAGTCAAAAATGGGAGCATTCTCTCAGATTATAAAAATCTTTGGGGCTAGTGTAGTTATTCCATGTAGTAGCTACTACTTATTTTGTAATTAGAACTGCAGAAGCAGATAAATACGTAACAGACTGTGACAGCGCTTCAGAAAAAAAAATGCATTCTGCTTTTTGGAGGTCTCTTTCTGAGACACTGATGAGGGGAAATATATTTAACAGAGAGCACGTTCCATTGTGCTGGGTTGATCTGAACTCCAATTTTCTGTGGAAGGGTTAATAGGATAAGTGGTTCTTAGGTTCTGCAAGGTGCTTTGTAAATATACTAATTATGTATGTATGCACCATATATGCATATGAATGTGATGTTTTAAAATTATACCTCATCATTAGTATGAAAGAAACTCACAGCTCCTGAATTGATATTCTGTACCTTCTAAGAATGAAGCTCTTTCCCATCCCCCTCATGCCCAAAGAAGCCTCATAAATGGGGTGACTTAAAGGAAAGAAGGGAAATTACTGTTTCTTCCACGCCTCATAAACAGATTCACACACGACATTCAATGAAATTAAACTCTAGAAAATTCCGAAATCCAAAGGAGATTTTTTTTTCTCTAGACAGTCATCAGAGAACTGATCTCATCCTGTAAGGTGTCATCAAGGCAAGCCGCCTGAGAAGTAGTTAGTTTTCTTTTCTCCTTTTTCTTTGAGGAAAAAAAAAAAAGAGAGTTTACTGGGGAAAAAAATTATGTAAGAACAGCATCTGCACTAACCAGGATAAAAATTATAAGGTCTATCAATCCTGGTTCTGCAGGGCAAAAGCAAATCACCAGCTAAGCCAGCCAAAAAAGCTTCCCAGTGGTCTAGTATTGCATAATTGGCCGTGTGAATTTCAGGGTTTCCAGCTTTGGATGGAGGGCTTGGTGCTGGTCACTCACTAGGGAAAACACTAAACTAATGGTCTTTTCAGTGATTTTAATAAAGCCTGACTCACTTTTCACAGGGGGGGAACAAGTATAAATGTGTCCCTTCGTTCTCAGAATAGGCCTTAAAACACACACACACACACACACACACACACACACACACACACACACACACACAGCATTTGGTGCTTTGGCCCTGTTATTTACATTTCAGCCATATCCCACAAGAGCACGTTTGGCCCAGTAGAGTCCCAGCTCCTGATCTGATTTACAAACCTTCTCCTCTAAGCATTGGCATATTACCCCTGGGATGTGCTCCCAAACTAATTGTAACCTAGGACTGTTACTGTTCATTTATTACCGCAAAGGGAAGAACAGGTCTCTATTTGAGAAGATGGAATGTAGCACAGCCTCTCAGTTAAGGTCTGAAATAAGACAATCCTAAAAGCTGCCTGAGAGACAGCAAAACCTTGCTCACAGCTGACCCGGGTTCTACCCCTGGCAGCGCATATGGTCTCCTGAGCTCCCTGAGGAGTGACTCCTGAGTGCAGAGTCAGAGAAAAATTGGGGAGGGCGAGACCCTAATAAGAGCTTTCAGTATGATTCTGGCTAGAATCATAAATCCTTAGATCTGCAACCCCTTTTCTCTCTACCCACACTTGTTAGTTGATGTTTCTCCAGTTGTTAATTAATAACCTGACTTTTATTTATGGTTTGACTTGTATTTTTCTTGCAAGATACGGCAATTTACAGGTTCTCTAAAAATGCTGGCAGTGAATTTGCGCTTAGAGAGCAGTATGTAGACGTTTCCTTATTGCTTTTCTGAATGACATTTTAAAAAATTGGTAGATATTCATTTATTCAATATTTTTAGTCTTCTGATGAGCTAAGCAGATGTGTTTGATTAAGTATCCTGTGTACAAACACAAGTCATTTGAGAATGAAACTGCTGCAGTATAAAATTAGTATTTTTCTTATGATGGGGTTGCAGGTAGGAAAGAAGGGAAAGAGATACAAATTTATAAGTATTAGTTTAAAAAGAGAAAAGACTCAGAAGTTAAGAGAATTCACTTACTTAACAAGTCAGTTTTTGAGCCATTATAATAAGTGAAATACCTAGTTAGATGCCAGGTAGTCAAAGATGAATGAAGTACATCGCTGGTCCTTAAAGTCATTTATGTTTTAGTGAGGTGGAAAGACATTTAAACTAAGAATTACAACATAGTTGAGAAGTGTAATGAGGGAAATGAGTCTATTTGGCATTTAAACTCTGAGGAGATTGATTAATTTCGTTTACAAAAATGTTGCATTACATTTCTCCCTGCTAACCCTTATATTCTTCCTTCTATTAGGCAAGTTCCCACTGTGTCCTAAAATCCTAAAGCAGAGCTGAATACATAGAAATATTTCATAAGTATCTCTTCGATAAATAAATTCATTTTGTCAACAAGTTCTTAGGAATTTAAATTTATAAATGCCGAGAATGTCTCAAAGGAAATGTTGTCTGAGACATTAAACGTATTGCTTTGGAGGAGACGAAGCTGGAAAGAAAGCTCAAAGGACAGG